AGCTCATACATATGCTAATAACATGTAAATCGCATGCAAATGAGGGCGCCGCGGGGGCGAGCGACTTCTCCGTAGAGTTTCAGCCCCGGCTGGGGGAGGGGAGATGGTAGGGTGCAGAGGCAGCATAGGGGCAGGCAGGAGCTGTGGCTGCCGCTATATCCCTGAGATGGAGTCCAAGCCACAGAAACCACATGCCCCCCTCCCACCCAGCACCCTCATACGTGATTCTAATATGAGGGGTTTTAAATGAGGAGGGAAAACTTGTCTTAGAATTGAATAAATATAGTAATTTAAAATCTGTGTTTATTCTGTCATAGCCTGTTCTACAGTACATGAAGCATGTTAGAAAACATGACCTATTAGGAATGGTTGTAGGAACTGGGTTTGTTTAGTTTTGAAAATAAAATGTTTAGGTGGACATGATAATGGAAATGGCTGTCAGAAGGAGGACATTGATTAATTAGTCTCCATGGTCAGCAGTGAAAAGACAAGAAGAAATAAGTTTAATTTCTGACAAAGAAGACTTAGGTTGGATATTATGAAAAAACCTGTCTAACATTAAGGGGGTGAAACAGTAATACAGTCTACCTCAAGATGTTGCACAATCTCCTGCATGGGATGTTTATAAGAACAAAATAGACAAATCTCTCTTGGGGATGGCCTTAGGTATCCTTGAACTTTCTTTAGTGCACAGGTTGGACTAAATGACTTCTCCCTAAATCCCTTTAACTCAGTGATTCTGTTTTTCCATAAGAAAATAAGTAAGAATAACAGGACTTTATGACAAGTGGACAGGACTTAGGCTACAGAAAAGGATAAAGAAAAGGTTGCAATTACCATACAGTATCACTAAAAATAAAACAAACACACAACATAAAAAGCTTATGTGTTCCTTGTAACTATTTCAATTAACCTTTCTAGGATAACATTTACTATCTTAGGCTAGGAAAAGAGATATTGTTTAAAACTAAATTGTACTAGTCTGCTAAACTATGTGAGAATTTAATGAGAATACATTTTAATGGCATAAATTTAATTCCTTGGACAGTATTTCTAAATGAAAAAATATCTTCATTATAATCCTTCTTAAGTGGAAATTCATTAGATTTAGAGGACACTGGGAATTAAAATTCGAGCAGGTTAACATGACATGGGAAATGAATGTAATCAGTTAGGTGCCAGCATGATGACTGCTATTCTCTTGTGAAGCTATGTACACCTTGATAATATATTCCCACAGGCTCTTAAAATTACAACAGTAAATGTAACCTGTTACAAACTTTAATTTGCTTTAATTTATTGAGTAATCTGCTTCATTGTAGACTGTATGATCTCCTAAGACTCAATTCATTAGGCATTGGCATCAGTGGCTGCTTCTGGCACGTGGAAAACTTTCATGCCTCCTGTGTTGGGAATCCTTATAAAGCCTTAGTTACCACAAAATACAGCATTCAGCATTTGGGTTTATCCTCTTCTGGAGCACTACTTCCCTGGCACCACCAAGTCCAGTTAATGTTGACATTGCTGCACCCACTGAATGAGCACAGTTCTAAGAGGATAGACTCTTCCTCTTCCCTTTCTGTCTGTAACTGTCCATCAGCCATAGAAATTTAAGGATAAAAAAGGGTTCTGTAGGTGCTATTTATAAACACTACGCCATTCTTCATTGAATTTGCATTAAAGATAGGCAAACCCTTGTATCTTATTAATGTTCTCATGAACCAGACTCCTTCATTGGATGGTTTCAGGATGAATCTGGATAAACATTTGACAGGGATATGTCTTTCTGCATGGGGTTAGAGTAGGTGAGCCTTGATGTCTCGTCCAACAAAATGATTCTGTGACTGTACCTCAGCCTGTTTGCATGCTTATTGAATGATTTTCACAGGTCTTCAGGTTAGTAAAATTCATAGAAGGTTTCCTACTACATTGGTGTTATGGTAGCCACAATAGGCTATGGCAGTTTTCCCTAGCTACCGCTGCTCTAAGAAGTTAGAGCATGAGTAGTTTTTACATTCCTAAAATCCTTTCTCAATTGGTTGCAGCTTTAGTAAGCATTAATTTCCTTCAGTTGTACATTTTCCTTTTTGTTTGCTAATCTTTTTCGTGTTCTTTGGTTCTGCTTTACTTTAAGGCATGATTCTTCAACACTCACTCATTTAAGTGAAACTGGCATGCCCACTGAATTTCTGCTTGCATGAGTAAACCTTACTCAGGATTGTAGAGTTTGGGCATTGGTTCTAGGAATTCAGCCAAAAAAAATGGAGAGCTTTGTACAGGTTGCAGTTCAGTGCATGTTAGTGAGTTTAACCACGTGATGCATAGAATATTGCTATATCTTGAATTTACACCTCTATTCAACACTTAAGCCTAGGAAGTCAGTAGGGCCTCATGTGGATTCTGATCCTACCTTTAAAAAACTCTTTGAAAGGTCAGGGCTTTTCTCAATACAGACTTGAACTTAAGTGCTATGAAGTGGATACTTGCGCTAAGACTGGTCCTTTTCATTGGCTTGCCAGGCCAATTGGCTGATGTAGTTGGACAGAATAGCAACAAAATATTTTCATATTTTAAAACGAATGTATCTCATTTAGTTCACACCTGGTTGCCAGAATGTGTGTGTCAGGGGAAACATAAAGGCTAGGAGATTTTTCTTATGTCCTGTTAGAGATAAATAAGCAATGAAAAGGGAAGAAGTAGGGACAAAGAATTCTGCCTCATTAATGTGACAAGGAGCTGTGGATAGTTATAGACTGAAGAGAAAACTTTTGATAGCACAGATATTTCTGCTCTTGATATTTATGTGCTTAAGTAATTTAGATGTAAAAGGAACATAAGAAAAGTATACTGTCGAGTGCAGCGGTTCTGAACTTTTTTCAGTCGACATACCCCTTAGTCTCAGAGTGAGACTTCACGTGCCCCCTTTCAATGGGAACTTAATTTTTTAGGCCCTTCGACTTGTATCAGACAATGTATGAAATATATCTCACGTACCCCTGATAAGGCTTCACGTACCTGCTGGGGGTACACGTACCCCCAGTCCAGAACTGCTGGTCTAGTGTATGTGAAAAGGAGCATTCCAGCTAAAGTTTTTCAAGAGTCTTTAGCAATACCAAGGGAAGAAGCCAGAATGAAGAAGAAAAGGAGTCTTGGAGGTTCACTTATTCTGCAGCAGTTTCTCCAAAATAACAGATATTCATAAAGCTTTTCTTTGACTAACATCAAATCCCTGTTCTTGACATTAACACCACATAGGAACTCTGGCTTCTGATATTTTCAAAGATGTATAAGTACATTAGGTACCTTTATCCATTAAAAAAGTCTACAAATTCTTAGCATTGTTTTGTCTCTTTAGAGATTGGGTTCTTTTTTATTATAGCAAATAAAAACCCCAACTATAATCCATAATCCTTTTTGGGGATTAAATTAACAATTTGCATCTCACCTATTCTGTCCAAAACTGTGCTTAAGTTTTTCAATCAGACAAAATTTTAGGTATGCTTGAATATATTAGGCACTTCATTTGAGGTAGGTAAGAAATTGTCCTGTGGCTCATGACAAAATGTTAACAAACCAGGGAAAATGGGAAAATGGGAAAATACTGTAAAAATTGTCTATAACTACCCCTCTCTCAATTCTCTATTTAGAGCTGTGAAAGTTAAGGTAAGCAACTGAATTTATTCAAAATCCTTAAGTCAAAAGTTTGATGTTGCCATGAACAGCGCAACACACAACCTATATTGTCTTGGGTTTTCATTTTTTTCTGGTCCATGGTGAAGTGTACAAGATATGTGGAATAGTAATGGAAGCAGAAAATTGATAGACATCAGTATGAAAGCATTGGTTTGCTCAGGCAGAATATGCTGGAGCAACTGACCTACCTTGCTGTCCAGCAAAAGCTTACCCACTGTGGAAATGTCCTAACTCAGTATAAAATACCCATTTTATAGTGGTTGTATAACATTTTATAACTATCTTCCTTAATAAGAGCTCTCCTATTATAAATGCTGTTATGCTGAAGAGTATCTTAGATAGTTCTACTGTAATATATATTTTTTTCCCTTTCAGGGAATATGGAGCCATTGATGATGTAGATATTGATCTGCATATTGATGTTAGCTTTCTTGATGTAAGTAATCTAATCCTATAATTATATAAAGAACATTAATACCCATTTAATTCTGTCACATATCAGATTCTGTAGTCACCCACTGAGATTCCCATTTTTGGATGCTTGATCTTCACAAATTCTTGTCACGTTATTGATTGTTCTTCAGTTCCCAGTAGAGACATTTTATTTTCCAATAGGAAACTCATTACTAAGATACTTTGTAGCTGTTTCTTTTCTACATTCTTATTTTTATATTTACTTTTGAATGTGCCTTGCAAATGGTAAAAGTTTTAACTGATGCAAATGCAGTGCATTGCTTTTTGCTGCAACAGGGTCTTCCCTATACTGAGCCATACAGTATGTTCCTGGAAGGAAAAGGGCCATGAATGAGGATCACCTAGATTCACTTTCAACAAATGTTGTCTTCCAAGGAGAGATTTGAATGACAAAGGAATCAGAGAACAGTACTGCTTAGCTTCCCTTTCTCCCTGGAGGCATCATTTCTTTAGCTTCTTGCTTCCACGCCATACTTCTGTAATAAGCTCCTTTAGGGTGGAACAGCATTACTTTCTGCACAGATGTATCATTTTCTCATGTAAACATTGCATATAGGATGATGCAATGGTTGGCTTTGCCCTGGAGCCAGATGAGGACTTAACATGTAGTGTGAACAGACATAGCAGTTATACCGGTGTTAAATTATATCAGCATAAGATGTTCTGAAATTACTGTTAATGACATAATTATATTTTACAGCTGTTAAATCACATCATCTTAAGATGTTCTGAAATTAATGTCTGCCAGAAAAAGGGAAACTAAAATGTTTCATTCAGGAATGGGAGTGGACACATGTAACAGTTTAGCTGGAAGAATGTATCTGTTCTTCCAAGTGGCAAGTTCCCTTCTCCCCTTTAGAAGGATTAACAATCTGTCCACAGCCTCTGCTGTGAATGAATTACTAAAAGACCTTGTTAGACCTTACACTGTAAACTGATCAAATGTTAATTGGCTTAGTGTTATTCAGCTTAGTGGAGCAGTCATACGGTAAGGTGAAAAACCTGCTTTGACAGTTCTTCACATGCACAGCTCTGACTTGCCACTAGAAGCTTGGTGAGCAGGTGCAGGACAAGGCGCAGGACCTGCTTGCTGCTCCCGGTGGACAGAGTGGGCCCACCACTGTGCCTGTTTCAGCGAGGCCAGAGAGACCCAGGGAAGCAGCTTTCCAGGGGTTCTCTTGTTTTGCTGAAACTGACACAGTGGTTCTACGCCGAGTGCATCGCTTAAGCCTGGCAGTCCGGCTCTCACTACAGAGCTGCTGCGTCAGTTCCAGCGAAACCAGAGCAACCCAGGAAAACAACTTCCGTGGGGTTCTCAGGTCTCATTAAAACTGACACAGCAGTTCTGTACTGAGAGCAAGGCCACCAGGCTTAAGCCTTGACAGCTCTGCTCTCAGCGCAAAGCCGCTGTGTCAGCTTCTGCAGCCCTGGAGCTCACTCACTTGGAGCTCTGAGGATCATGATCTGTCTTTCTCCAAGGCTCAGGCAGCACCCTCATTCACTAGTGGGAGCTGAGCCAGTCCAAGTGGCAGCAGGACGCACCGTGGTCACTGGGTGCTCTGGGGGAAAAAAAGATCAGGCACGTGGGATCTTAGGCGACACCTGGCTATCTGGCAGCCCAGCTGGTTGAGTGTGGGGCAGCAAGCAATGGCTGAATTCCAGAGAAGAAAAGATCAGGCCCCTCAGTACTCACAGTATTCTGGGATACTGGAGGACTTCAACGTGGGGACTTCAACACTCCCAATAGCTATGGAAAGTGGCCACATAGTAACGGAACTACAACAAAATTAGGCAAATTGGAGATAATCCTGTCCTGGAGTGTCATAACGAATAACAAGTGTTCTATGCCAGCTTAAAGGTGTTAATGTGCAGCAAATCTGGAGGTTAAGAGCTCCAGAAGCCACCTAAGCTTACTATGTAACAAGGCAGTAACACAGGGAGATGTACCACATGTTTTTTTGCTTGCTATCTGTTTTTTTTCTAATTGTGTTTACTCCCTTTGCTCCCTGTTGAACCACTGTATTGGATCATAGTCAATGTGTAGGCCTACATGGCAATCTACATTCCTTTGTAGAGGTAGCTTTAAAAAGAATTAGTTTGGATATCAGAAGCAGTCTAGCTGCTGTGTCATGGAGATCAGCATGGCCTAATTTACTCTGCTTATCTTGTTTAAAGCTATCTTGTTAAATGCTGAAGAAAATCTATCCTATCAATGGGTGGAGAGGTTAAAACAATAGCTCATCTGAACTTACACACACACTTTCAACAATACTAGGATTGATTGACAAAGTATGGACAGTTCCTAATGATAGCTAATGGGTTTTATTTTGTTGTTTTCTTCTCTTTTCTTTTTATCTTGAATTAGGAAGAGATTGCTGTGGCTTGGGATGTAATTCGCACAGAGCCTATAATAGTGCGATTGCACTGTTCACTTACACAGTACTTAAATGGTCCAGGTTAGTCACATTTGTAATTTTCCTGTGGTATCCTCAGTTGTAAACAATGTACTGGGTGACATATTCATATGCTCCTTACGAAAGCCTCTGTTTTGCAAATTATTATATAGATTTACATCTTTGGTACTGAGAAGGGGCCTATGAGCTTAAGAAATAAGGATCTGTGACTTGTGATAAATTCTTGTGGATTTTAGAAATCATGTTCCTCATGGTAGGCCCAGCCTTCCAACATACATATGCAAGCATCTTTGATTGCATTGGTATCAAACATGTGCACAGTATGTGCATGTACTTTTGAAGCTTGACTGCGGTACCTAAAAGTTGATGTTGATACGTGATTTCTGTGTTAGTATCTGATCTAGCTTTAATTTGAGTGTGACATTTTAAATATTACACTGTTAACTCATTCTGCAGTATGTCACAGTTAGTAAATATTCTTGAGAAACAGAGATGGGACTGAATCATAAAGAACTAATCCAGATTCTAGATTCAGATGTGTTCATGTATAGGATTCAAATTCAGGCATATATATAGAGAGAAGAGTCAGAACTGAGAACTTGTAAACTGAATACAAATATTGCCAAATCCAGGTTGTGAGTTCAGGCTTACATCTGAGGGAGAATTCTGTCCCTGAACAATAAAGATATGTTTCCAGTCATAATGTGCCTGGAGAAAAATATTACGACATGCCATTTTTTAGAGAGTGCTGTGTCTGCAGCTGCTAACGGTAAGCTTATGTTCTGCTCCTATAGATAAGCTTTATTTATATTACCATTGTATTTCTGGCATGGCTTTGTGTCTTGTTTCACAGTATCTTACTATTTTAAAGTACTTATGAACACATATTCATTTAAAATATCTATTTACAATAAATAAATAACTTTCATAATTACAATAGCAAGCTGCAGTATTAAATCGTTACTGCAATATGCACAATAATGGGGAATGAATAATGCAGATCCTTGTTCGACTGGATATGCCCCAGCCAGATCCTAAATGCCAGTAAGGTTCCTGCAGTCTCTGTACATGAGCAGCGGGGCAGCTCCAATGCTCTATAATTATAGTGTGTCGGAGCAGCGTCAATTAATCAAGTCTGATGGAGTGTGATAATTACTGCACTGCCGCAGACTCCAGTGTCTCGTGTATCAGTGTCCCCGCACTTTAAAATGGCGGTGGGGTGCTTTAACTAAAGCTTGTTGAACAAGCTTTAGTTAAAGCAATACTGCCGCTATTTTTAAGAGCAAGGATGCTGATACGTGAGAGGCTCCAGGCACTTCAATTAAAGCAGCTCTCAGAGCCCCTCTAATTAAAGCACCCCCCCACACACACTCCCAGAGTACATGTGTAAATGCCTCATAAAGCTAAACCAGTAGGCTGTGCATAGTCAAAGCAGGATCAAGGGCAGAGACAGATGATTTTCAATTACTGGTCTTAGAAGCTTAGTGGTGTTGTAGTTTCAGTTAAATATTTTTTCCCAAAAAAGGGCCAAGAGAGCTATAATTTCTTTATTAATTTACAAAGGAACCCTACCCCCACTCTCTGCTCTGGAAACATTTTGTTGAGTAAGAAGTTCTTATGATCTTATGGCATATTTACCTTTCTTTTCTGAGTCTGTCTACACTATGTCCCTGGTGCTCCTGGTGAGGGCTGTTCTCAAGCATGCTGTACCCAGTAGTCCTGTCTACACTCAACCCAAATAGGAAATGTGGTAGGTTATCTCCTGCTGCTGCTCTTGTGCTCTCTTGTCTCCAGCATCCTTGGAAGCGGCAGCAGGTGTGGCTGAAGTGGCTTCACTCCGTTATTTCCAGGTTTGGAATGCACAGGTGGGAGCAGGTAGATGGACCAGGATGGACAGTAATACTTCTGGGAGTGCCAGATGTGCAGTGTAGACATCCCCTTTATGGCCTCCATTGGCTACTGGGAGAAACAGATGTGCCATGTGCATAAGGGGAAATAAAATGTGTTTGGCTGCTTTTTCAGATATATTATTTCAATACAGGAGTTTTGAAAGTTCTGTTGTAGTTTATTACTTAACCAGATTACTTTCAATATGCCCTTTTCCATGCATAAGAGTAGGAAGGATTTTTGTATGCTGATACCATATCTCTGGTTTCCTGTTTAAAAATGATTGTTAGCATCACCTATTGTGAAAGCTGCCAAACACTTTCCATTATGAGAAAGTCCTCAACACTTAGTATTTTCAGTTGTTTGTAAACATACATGATAGTCTCATAAATTATGTATGTATTGTAGGTTTTTACGTATATGTGTTTGCATATATGTGATATCTAAAATGCAAATCAAACTTGCTTCAGTAAGATATAGGCTGTGCAAAGAATTAGGTATTTTTCAGTTACCTGTACCATGCTGAATACTAGATACAGTATTAAAAACTTAGCATTTACTATAATAGATTATATAGTACATCTGGTCTGATATCCTGATTCTGGAAGTAGCCATTGCTTAATGTTTTTTGAGGAAATTAAAAAAATAGGTGATAGTGTTCCTTGTCTATTCAGAATTATAGTATATCAGATTGCAATGTGAGAAAAGGTTATTAAACCCTGCAGGCAATCATCTTATCCACTGAAATACGTGAACTTGTAAATCTAAAACTACTACTAACTAGACTATCCATTCTTTCTGAAAATCCAAGCACATGCATCATTTGAATAGTAGCACTAGTTTTATCAGTGCTAAACAAATAATGTATGGATGGATGTATTGAAACAAAGGAAATTTCGGGGTACTGAAGACACGTTTGTTTCGTTCCTTTCTTCTTTCCTCAAATGAGCCCATCTTTCAAAAGAGTACTTGCTAAGCATATCAAATAGGACCTGGTAGCTTTAGTTAGTTAGTTAGTTAGTTAGTTTTAAAGTTTCAGAATAGTAGATGCTTAAAATAATAATTTAATTCTGGTGAAAGTTAACTACAGTGCCAAACTCAATGAAATTCTGATATAATAAAAAGCATGGTACGTTGATGTTCATCAAAGTTTTGTTATTTGTGATATCTGTTTTCCTACCTGAACTGAGTTTTTCTCAGCCAGTGCTGGATGCCATCTTCTCACTTCTCTCTACCAAAATCCTTTAAAAATATTTATTAATCTCAGAGCTAGAAGTTTGTATTCATCCTTATGTTTGCAGTTTTCTGAGTAGTAAAACATGGATGTTCTGACAGTGGGAAGGTATGAAGGAGTCTATATCTTATGGCAACGTTTAAGCTTCTTTGGAGGTTCAGAACAAACATTGGCTATTGAGCTTCATACAGGATGCACACAAATGACAAGCATTGTGGAGCTTGCATTGAAATGTTGTTAGAAAACAAACCTTGCAAATAAATAAATGTAGCTGAAACTGCTGTTGGTTTTCTTCAAAATCCAGAGAGCAGGAAGAAGACAAGATGCTTGACTGCAGTTTGGATCCATAGGCTGAAAGAAAACCATAATTCTACTGTCTATAATGTTTCAGGAAAACTTGGATAAATAAGCTATTTTCATGTAGCACACTTTGTTTGTTTCCATCTGGAATTACCTTCCCAAACAATAATTCATAAGACCTCCTACACCTTTAGAAAGTTCTGAAATGATAAGATAAGAGGGAGATAAACATACCTCTCATACTATGAGGGAACAGAGAACCAATCAAATTACATAAAATTAACAGGAAGACTGATGCACCCCGGTCTTCTCCTGTTAATTTGCTGCAATTTCATGCAGGGTAACCTGCAAATCCTTTGCAGTAACAGGGACAGCTTATCCCTAAATTAAACCAAGGTTAAGGAGCCCCAGGTTAGCTTTTACTTAGTACGGGATAATTGTGGACACACACGTTTACCAAGCATCATCCATTCAGTGGTAAGATCCTGTCCTCTGTTAACTTGCTGTATTTTGATTTTTCATCCATGTCCTGAGACGGGGAATACCTTGCTACAAGTGGATATGGTATGGACCCCATGGACTTACATTAAGCCTTCTTTAGCTGCTGGAGGAGCTTGATTCTACTCTCAATTATACTGGAGTAAAAGCAGCAAAACCTTGTTGATTTGAAGTTACATCTGTATTGATGTAACTCTGACTGCATCTACATAAGATGCTACTTCATAGTTCCATAGTTAGTAGGGTCGGAAGGGACCTGAGCAGATCATCAAGTCTGACCCCCTGCCATGGCAGGAAAGAGTACTGGGGTCAAACGACCCCAGCAAGGTGATTGTCTAGCCTTGTCTTAAAGACTCCCAGGGTAGGAGCCAGCACCACTTCGCTTAGAAGTTGGTTCCAGATCCTAGCCACCCTGACAGTGAAGTAGCGCCTCCTGATATCTAGCCTAAATCTACGCTCTGCCAGCTTGTGACCGTTATTTCTAGTCACTCCTGGTAGTGTCCGGGGAAACAGGGACTCCCCCAATGCCTGCAGGTCTCCTCTGACTAGTTTGTAACAGGCCACTAGATCCCCCCTCAGCCTTCTCTTACGGAAGCTGAACAGGTTCAGGTCCCGTAGCCTCTCCTCGTAGGGCCTGCCCTGCTGCCCCCGATCATGTGGGTCACCCTCCTCTGGACCATCTCCATGTTGTCCACATCCCTCTTGAAGTACAGAGCCCAGAACTGGACGCAGTACTCCAGCTGCAGCCTGACCAGTGCCGCATAGAGGGGGAGTATCGCCTCCCTGGACCTGCTTGA